TAACAAGATATTTTTCAAATACCAAGAAGGTAATTTCACATTTCTGTGAAATTTAAGTAAAATGGCAACCCTTACCTTCTAGAGTTTTTGGACCTGAACAGTACAATATACTACCAGAATGCAACAAATACTTCTTTGATCCCATTGTAGTATTCAGTTGTAAACTATTGTCCTGCGAGGCTAATTATTTGTGCACCCATCTCTCAAACTTCTATACGAACTGTAAACTTTAGTTTTACTTTATCAAAATACAGTCATATCTTGGCACTCAAAGATACCTGCAACACTATGCACTAGTGAACAACTCAGTAGCCTAATAAGATATAACACAAATAGGCCTAAAAACTTCAGGAGTATTGTCTATTAAAAAACATTGTGATAAGTCTAATTAAATTCTACATACATACTGTAATAGAAAAGTAAAAATTCACTTTCTGAATTCATATTATTAAAAAAAATAATCACACACTCCATTTAAATCACACTTTCTGGGCATATATTTATTGTTCATGAAAGTACTCATACATAAGCAACTAGTTTTTTTGTAAACATCATAGGGAATTAAAAACATTGCTTACTTAAAAGTAGCAGAATCCAGCCTATAATTTTAAAATAATGATATAGTACTTTAAAAATAAGTATCAGTTATATGCACATATACTTATAAATAGACACACACATATTTTTATATATGCATGTAAGCAAATGCATCTCTACCACAGCCAGGTAAGGTATTAAAAGAAATGTAGGGGTTTTTAATTCATTTTTGATACATAGCAAAGACACACTATCCATTCACAACAAAATCATACATATACAATATCAAATTCATATCAGGCTTTTCTGCAGTGCCAATAATCTTGAAGATTCTCTTTACTGAATATTACAACTATGAAGTCTTAGAAATACAATCACTTTAGAAGTTTACGCAACATTTAACATGCTGGTCAAAAGTAAAAGATAAAAAAGGATTGAAATATTGACACCATCTTAAGCAAGTAGAAAGATGAGGACCAATACTTGTAAAATACCTTAAGTCTAGGAGAGAGATTTTTCAGCCTACATTAAGTGGTAAATAATTTGTCTTTAAATATTTTATTTCCTCTTTTTAGGTACACAAGAATCAGAAAAAAAGTGCCCTAAATTACAGTGCACCTTGTCCATGTGCCTAGAGATACATTCTCCTACGAGCAACACAGTGCTGAAAAAACTCCTGTGAAATGTCTTCAAGAGAACCCAAGGGCCAGGTGTAAAAGGTGTTAAATCAAACTATGCAGAGTGTATACATACCAAGTTTCGTAATAAAAATTAGTTAAAGACCCTTCTGCTTCAACAACCTCTTAAGAGACAAATCATTGGCACCTTAAAAGAAAGGCACCAGATAAACACGATGAACATCAGTACAGAAATCACATTCACAACAATCTACATCTTGCCACTGAAATAGTAACAGCATATGCACATGTTTTTTCCCCTCAAAATTCAGTACAAGTTTATAGATCTGAGAAACATGCACTACTATACAAGATTTAACACACATTCTTATTTCAGAGATGCATTCAGCTTCAGTTCTGAGATAGCTCACAGATCTAAAACAATTTACTTGATCACATCTGACAGAAGCAGAAATTAATCTATAGATTTTCTTTTAAAAAGAAGTTCTCTTTCACCACAAAGACTTGCTACTTGCCTCAGAAACCATTTCCCCTCTGGGGATAGTCAGTAGTATGTGATCGATAACTTCAGGTATTTCTATACTTGCAGAGGCATAGCATGGCATGATCTCTATTGAAACTTCCCATAGTATTTCTTGACTAATCTATATAAATGTAGTATATAACATACTATAATAAGATGAGTCAAATGCAATTAATCAGTGTAAAAATAATAAAGTAATCATTACAATTTTTTTTTTCAATTATTCAAGAAATAATAGAGGGGTGAAGCCAAAGTGAAATAGGATCTAGATATTCCTTAAATTCCATTTTGGATTTGAACTTCATCTTCTCTGGCTCCCAATTTTGGTTGCACATTGGAGTCTTTTTTTTTTTTTTCCTGTAAATGTAAAACTAGGAGCAATCACCTTCTAAATACATTCACCTTCCCACTCTCTCACCCCAATAACTGTGCACTTGGACTTATTTCTTTGCATTTGTAGGAATTCCCTCCTATAGACCTATTTTTACTCAAATTTCCAAAAACTATCTGCAGCAGCAGTCTATCAGCAAAACTCTCCATCCTTTATAACAAGGAGTAGCACCAATATTTGCCTCAAGCACAGAGAAAGTATTGGGCAGGCAGGTAGGGTATTTCTAGTAGCTGCTATTCCATCAGCTCTCCTCAGGATCATCAAATTAATTAAATTCTAAGCTCTGAAATATTTTATCAGGTTGCATATTTATATTTTAAAACACATGAAACACATCAAAATACAGCAAGTGCTTGGGGCAATGAATTTCTAGGCACTTAATTTTCATTCTTTTCTACAGAAATTCTGTAAATTCTTCTAAAGATCCCATTAGACACCAGTGTGTCATGGCCCATACCACTTCATGGCAAGGGCTAAATGATACCTTTACAGCAATTACAAAAGTCTTTCACAGTAATGAAGATCCATTACACTGTTACCATAAATTGTATTTTAAACAAGATAGATCACCTCAGTTGTACAATACTCTAAAAGAAATTTTAAACATTTTTATAAACAGCAACAAAAAGGAGCAACTTTTACAGTCATGGAGAAAATAAACTGCCACTGGGAAAACATAAAGAGCTGAAAGCTGAGTGCAAGGTTGTCAAGACTAGTAAAGTGCTCAGACAACCACAGTGAGAAAAGACCGGTGGATGACAAAAGTGTAAGCAAAGGGAAAACAAAGAGACTGGTCCTTTCAAAAGGTTTGATTTCAGAAGACTTTGTCATAATATGTACAATATTTATATTCAAAAATTTAATCACTCCCTCATATTTAAAATAAATATATGGGCTCTTTGGGCTGTAAAAGCATAAACATATAACAAATTATTAAAATAAATATGTATAGCTATTTCAGGGATTTATAGTAAAAATATATAAATCAGTTTCCTTAATAAAGGCAGTGAGTGGTTAACTTGGAAGTGGTAAAAGTCTAGCAAGTGCTTCGTATGTTTCAGACACTATTTTGTGACTGTGGTCACACCTGTATCTGCTTCAGTTTATCCACCTGAGCATAAGTAAAACAAAATAAGCATTAGTAAACATCGCTTTCAGAAGCACTTTGGAGTTTGCAGAAATGCAGTAGGAAAACGTACAGAACTATGAAGAGATATTAGTAAGACCCTAATAACTCTAGAGGTGCACTTCAACATGCCAGGTTATATATCTGTCACCTACTTTCTGCTTCTTTTTTCAAGCAGCTGAGGGCACTATATGACACCTCACCTCTTTAACAACTGCAGAGAAATGACAAGAGAATTAAACTGTAAATAAGTGAAAGTTACATAAACAAACCTTTTTCATATCAGAAAGACTCTAGAAAATACTAGTAGTAACCAGCTTATGTTTATTTGGAATGACAAAGGTTTCTGGAAAAAAACATACTGTTTTGCTTTGTTTTCTTTTTTAACCAGAATTCCTCATATTCACCTTACAACTTCATGGTCAGATTATTGTGAGAACCGAGTAAAGAGTGCAATTTCCATGTCCTGTTGAAATCAATGGAACTGTAGTGGTCACAACAGTTGCAGCATATAAACTAAAACACAGGATGGGCACCTTGTATATAAACAAACAAACAAAAAAACACTAAAAAAAGCCACTTTGCTACAGATTAAGCACTTGTTGCAAATAAACAAAACACTTCAAGTTCGACTATTTCAAAGATCAAGACTTTTCTATAAAATTGAATGAAAACGCCAAAAAAAGGGATTGCTGAGGACACACATCCATGTGAATTAATCCTTTCAAGCTTCTTTAAGAAAAAAGGTTAATAACCACAGCATTTGCAAGGTGAGATTCTTAGGTCTGAAAGCACTCATTTCCAGCCACACCACAGTATTAAAGGCAGTGTTGACAGGGAGCTGATCTAAACAATGACAAGATTTTAGAATCTATATTCCCAAAACAACTAAAGGAACTATACAAAAAAAAAGAAATCTCGAATTTCAAATTAAACTAATGGGTAGTTGCTGTCATTGCTACAAACAAGACTGCTCCTAAATGAGAAAAAAAAAAAAGCATTTCCTAAAATTATATTTATTGTAGGACTAGTAAGATATTAGCTTTAGAATTTTTAAACATTTTAGAAAACACACTAGATCTGTGTCTGCAGTCAATCAGCAGACAACATATGACAATGGAAGTTTTAGTATATTTTTTTCATGTTTAGAGATTTTTCCTCATCAAAAAAAAAAATCCTTTCCACTCTCAAGTCTAAAACAAAATTTTTTAAAAATTCAAAGTAACATAAGAAAAAAAAACTGTTATTGGTCAATATCCAGCAATCTGCAAAAGTCTGCACCATGTAGAGAACAGAACAAACAGAAGTAAACTAGAAATATTTCAGCAGTTCTTTGGAACTCAATCTTTCAAATACTGTTCGGGTTTCTTTTATTTTGTTTTAAACAAAACCCACTAGTGTTGCATCATGCATATCTCTTTAGTGCCTTTACCATAAGCTAGTCGTACGTCAAGAACTCCCTGTGTGCAAAGCATTAAAAATAGTAGATGTAGATTATTCCACACACTACAGACATGCATCCTGCAAGAAGCTATCAGGATAAAAATTTAGATTACAGCATCACTTTGATTAGAAACACAACTACAAGAACAAAGAAAGTAAGTATAACTATGCCAAATTTTTGTTCTACTTTGGTCATGTAGCAATCCCATGCAGATGTTCTGGAAGCTCACCATGCAATTTATGAAGTTTAAAAGAAAAAAAAACCCACCAAACAAAATCCCAGCGTTTTCCCTGAATATTCTTGAACTACAATATCCAGTAAGACAGAAATGCCAATATTCTCATCATCTTTCTCTTCCAAATTCAAAATCAGTAGTAGTGCATATACATTCAAGAAATATAATAATTTGAACATATCTATAATAAAGACATTTAATAACAGATTTTTCGAGCTCTCAATTTATTTCTCAATGTAGTCAATGCATTAGGAAACAACTGCAACAGTTCACATAAGCCACTGTTCTTGTTCTTTTCTGTACTTCTCAGACCACTTCTGAGTAAGCTCTAGGTAAACATTTGGTTTATGGGGCTTATAATCAAGGTAAACCATCTGTCCAGTCCGTTTGGGGACAGCTTTTTCAATCTGAGTTCCCTCATGCCATTCATTAAAAGATGTAATAGAAATAATTTCTGGTCGCACCAAAAGGGCTGCACTGAAGGCAGTCTCATAGTACTTCCCATTGACACGATTACGGGTGTTGTGGTTGTTCCATGGTCGGATACTGGTATCAATATACCCTGGTCCCACGCTTGGAATAAACATTAAGTTGTTACTATCACAAAAAGCTTTTAAACTTGCCCAATTATGATGAGATGAGCCATAGGAGAAGCCATTGGTTGCAAAGTATGTGTACATTCCATCAAAGCCACTTCTGTGAATGTCGTGCTTATGTCTTTCTTCTACAAGAAGTGCAATGAATAACGCATCGTATGGAGTATTTCGAATAGTCTGGGATCCAGAAACAGTTAACAGATTTGCCCATATTTCAGGAATTGTCACGTAAGAATCGTAAACATAAAACATGGGAAGAAATCTACCTGTGCTGGTCTTATGCCTGTAAAAGGCTGGATGGCCTCCATATCTATAAAGCAAACAAGTATTGTTAAGACAAAATTTGCCATTTGGAAAATACTGGTTTACAATTTCAGCTGAAGACTTTTCCTAAAAACTAATTGAAAAAGACAGTGCAGGCTCTTCAAAATATAGCAATTCATATCCATTTTCAGTCCAGTGTTTGCTGAAGTATTAAGTAATGAATCTGCAAAGAACCTTTAAAGTACTACAAATTAGTAACTCCGTATCAGACTGCACTATAGGTGTTCTCTAATTCAGTATGAAATAAGACAGTTTAAGTAGCATTAATAAGCGAAACAACTAGAGGCTGTACAGAATTTGTCAAGCTGAATTAAAATCAGTAGAGGTCAACACATTAAAGCTTCAGCTGCTAGTCTGTCACTATAAAAATGTGTATTTAATTTATATATCATGTAGCTAACACTTTAACTGCTTTAATCTGAAGTATCATGACTTGTGATACTAATGAATGTTGAAAGCAATTTACATTTGAGTATCTATGTAAAAATTCATACTTCAGCATTTAAAAAACATACTGGAGTTTTGTACTGCTGAAATAGGAACAATATTTCTTAGAGTTTTCTTCAGTTTCAGTACACATTTTTATATATTCCTCCAAGCTTTAGATAATACACAGAAGTCCCCTAACCCAGCATGTAATAAACCCCAAAGGAAACCATTCTGAAAGCACTCACTTGTCAATGATGTATTTGACATTGTGGTACATACTGCGATCGTCTCTGTCTTTGTAAGGTTCAATATGGAAAGTGACCTGAAAGATGAAAACGTAGTAAGAGCAACACAAACGTAAAATACTATTGAATACACCATGTATTATATGAGGCAAGTACCAGTCGTATTGAATATAGTTCTTCTTTACAGAGCAAATATTTTCATTAGTCTATTCTGAGAATAATCCAACCCTAATTCAACTCCTGCACCGCTAAGATCGGATGCTTCAGATCCAAGGAAGTTTGGTAATTCAGTTTTTTACGTTCAAACAAAACACTGCTTTTGTTTTCACTAGGCTACAACGAGTAGTAAGCATGCTTCAGAAAACTTAAACTACATCAGAAACTAAAAATTGAAATAAAAAATTATCTATTTGAACTTCAAAGAACTGATTAACCAATGAAACACTTTAAGATTTCATTTCTAAACAGTGCATTAAATTTGCTATAAGCAATTCTCCAAGGAGAGTTTTCAGTGCCAAAATATATTTTAAGATATGAGATATGAAAATTTTGATTTAAAATTTTATAGATTTATCAACAGTAATAAACTCTTGGAACTAAATCTAATCTAATACACTCCTACTGCTCTGAAATTCAAGCTTGGAGCTTATGGAACACATCTAATAAAGTCTTCAACAACTCTGCAACAGTAGCAAACTTCCACTGTAGACCAAATATCTATTTCTATTAGGTATAAAATGTTATTAAAATATAGCATTAGACTAAATCACTAGGACTGACAGGACAAGCTGCAGAGCACTGTAATTCCAGAAGTCATCTTCAACCATCAAAACCAGGCAAAGAAAAAGGACATATCTTCTAGCAGACTTGTATTTAGCAGACATAATAGAAATGTATTTTGTATGTTGGTTTTGGTCTTCTGACATTCCTAACGCTTAATTGTAATAACTTACTAGTGCAAGAACATTTAAAAACATTACATTGAAGATAGCATTCCCTGATAGTATCTGTATTTAATATCTGTATTCCAGTAATTATTCCAAGCAATAACAGCAGTTCCATCCATATTCCAATCATTACCATATTATTATATGCATTTTTCTTGGTAGCTTATTTGATTTTGACTTGGGTCCTTTGAGAGACTTCAATGTCAGCAACTTCTTTTTGGTGAGAGCAAGCTCTGTCAGATCTGAAAATTATGGGGAAGGACACTACTTTTTTTTCTTCTCTTCAGTAATTTACTATTATGTATGTGCAACTTATGTCACATAATGCACTTCACACTATTTTTAACAGTTTCAAAGTTACTTCTGTATCTGATTTAACCTTCCTACTTTCCTCCTGCATGTCAAAGAATCTACAGTTGCTACTAGTGACAGGAAATTTCTCCAAGAATCTGCAACTTACATGACCAACTAAAACCAGACCAGATGACCAGGATGTATTTTTAGTCCCCAATTACCGGCAATGCCCTCCAAAAATGAAACATATACAGCTACTTCGATTAAAATCTCAAATTTATTACTCGACAAGACTAAAAGACAATGCATGTTTTCTTTATCCCAAGGGAAAATACAAGTTTTAGTCTAAAAATAAATAATAAAAAAAACCAACATGATTTTAGATTCTACTGATCAAGCCATGTAATCTTTAATTGGTTTGATATTTCACCTGCTCTTTTCACCTTGCACCACACGGAATACTGCATTCAGCTCTGGAGTCCCCAACATAAGAAGGACATGGACCAGTTGGAGAGGGTCCAGAGGAGGGCCACGAAGATGATAAGAGGGCTGGAGCACCTTTCCTATGAGGACAGGCTGAAAGAGTTGGGGCTGTTCAGCCTGGAGAAGAGAAGGCTCCGGGGTGACCTTATAGCAGCTTTCCAGTACCTAAAGGGGGCCTACAGGAAGGCTGGAGAGGGACTTTTTACAAGGGTGTGTAGTGATAGGACAAGGGGCAATGGATTTAAACTGAAAGAGGGCAGATTTAGGTTAGATATAAGAAAGAAATTTTTCACTCTTAGAGTGGTGAGGCAGTGGAACAGGTTGCCCAGAGAAGTTGTGGATGCCCCATCCCTGGAAGTGTTCAAGGCCAGGCTGGATGAGGCTTTGGGCAACCTGGTGTAGTGGAGGATTTCCCTGCCCATGGCAGGGGGGTTGGAACTAGATGATCTTTAAGGTCCCTTCCAACCCTAACCATTCTATGATTCTATTTCAGAAAGCCAGTAATTTCGCCTTTCTATCCTGCTATGTCCTGGAGTAACCTAAAGTCAGAGCAGCACATCTCTGACCTTACTGTCCAAGGCAAGTGTTCCCGGTATCTTCTGGAATAAAGACATTCATTCAAACTAGAACTTCTAAATCCCTCTTTGTTACTCAGATGCCATCTCCTGACCTCTATAATCAGGGGCCAGCAAATTATGCAGTAGTGCAAAAAATGAGATTAGGCTTTCTTCTTTCTCAAAGTTCCTTAATTCATAGATCACTGTATTCCATAGTATTTTGAAACATGTAATACTTCCCTCAACTCCCAAGACTCATTTGAAAACAACATATGGTCTAGTTTTAAAAAATATTTCCTAAAAATAAAATTTAAAAAAAAGTATCACCATACCTTAAATTCTGTAAGCCTTAGATCTGAACCAAACCAGAAAATGATATTTATTCTAGTTATAAGGTAGTATTGCTTATGTCTTCTCAAAATTCAGTGTAATTCAAAGGGCACTTATACCTGCTTCTATGACTCAAAAGAAGTGCAGTGTAGTAAGAGACAGAAACAGAAGCCATCAACACATAACAAGCCTCCCTGCTCTATGCTATGAGTCAAATGTAACAAACTCTCAGCAAGGTTTACTTTCTTAAGTGGTTCTATTTTATGCATCTTAAAAATACATTACCTTTAGACTATATTTGTGTGCATAATCCAAAATAACAGGCACCAAATCATCAGTGGGTTCTCCGTTTTCATCAGCCATACCCGGTGGATACCATGAAAGCACTATTACACCTGAAAATACAAAACTTAAGTTTTAAGTCATGCTGTTTAATATATGACACGTATGTTATAAGATTGTCATGAGTTATAATCATTGCTTGATGTGAAATTATATGATATAAATGACAATTTCAAATTACTTTTTAACCAATTACAAAATCTCAGTATTCTCAGAGTGGACATCTCTCTGTCTAAAAGACAACAAAAAAAACAGTGGTAAGATCATCTGTCAAGCGAACAGATCTGTGCTCAGTGTCCCAAGTCTAGCAATTGTGGGAGGGAGCCATTCCCTCCCACTTTCAGTACAGCATCCTTTGTGGAGCAGATCCTCCTGGCAACTATGGTAAGACACAGGGGCAAAAAGGGAGGTGATTGGTGACAGTCAGCATGGGTTCACTACGGGTAAATCGTGCCTGACTAATTTGGTGGCCTTCTATGACATGCTTACAACATTGTGGGATACGGGAAGAGCAACTGACATCATCTACCAGGACTTGTCCAAAGCATTTGACACTGTCCCACAAGACATCCTTGTCTCCAAATTGGAGACATATGGGTTTGACGGATGGAAAACTCAGTGGATAAGGAATTGGCTGGATGGTCACACAAAGAGAGTTGTCAATGGCTCGATGCCCAAGTGGAGACAAGAGATGAGTGGTGTTCCTCAGGGGCTGGCATCAAGACTGGCACTATTTAACATCTTAGTCAGTGTCATGGACAGTGGGACTGAATGCACCCTCAGCAAGTTTGCTGACGACACCAAGTTGTGTAATGTGATCGACATGCTGCAGGGAAGGGATGCCATCCAGAGGAACCTTGACGGGATTGAGAGGTGCATTGTGCGAACTCTGTGAAGTCCAGCAAGGCCAAGTGCAAGGTCTTGCACATGGGTCGGGGCAATCTCAAGCACAAGTACAGGCTGGGCACAGAATGGATTGAGAGCAGCCCGGAGGAAAAGGACTTGGGAGTGTTGGTTGATGAAAAGCTCAACATGAGCCGGCAATGTGCACTTGCAGCCCAGAAAGCCAACCGTATCCTGGGCTGCATCCAAACAAGCGTGGCCAGCAGGTCAAGGGAGGTGATTCTGCCCTTCTACTCGGCTCTCGTGAGACCTCACCTGGAATACTCTGGTCAGCTCTGGGCGTCCCAACATAAGAACAACATGGACCTCTTGAAGCAGGTCCAGAGGAGGGCCAAGAAGATGATCTGAGGGCTGGAGCACCTCTGCTATGACGATAGGCTGAGAGAGTTGGAGCTGTTCAGCCTGGAGAAGGCTCTGGGGAGACCTTATAAGCAACTTCTCAGTACTTAAAGGGGGCCTACAAGAAAGCTGTAGAGGGACTTTTTACAAGGGCATGTAGTGACAGGACAAGGGGTAATGGCTTTAAACTGAAAGAAGGTAGATTTAGATTAGATCTAAGGAAGAAATTCTTCACTATAAGGGTGGTGAAGCACTGAAAGAGGTTGCCAAGAGAAGCTGTGGATGCCCCATCCCTGGAAGTGTTCAAGGCCAGGTTGGATGAGGCTTTGAGCAACCTGATGTATTGGAGGGTGTCCCTGCCCATGGCAGGGGGGTTGGAACTAGATGATCTTTAAGGTCCCTTCAAACCCAAACCATTCTATTGTTCTAACCTTTAGGTGGTACCAAGAGGAGGAGAATGCTCTCAATTAACACATTATAGCTATGCCACAGTACAGCCAGAGAATATCAAGATACACAGGGCTAGAGAACACTCAAGAGATTAGGGCTATGGACGTGATGAAAGAAATTCTTATTTTATGAAACTTTATTCACCACCATATTTCTGCATTGTAACTCTGGCTCTACTACAAAACAACCATTTCATACTAGAAACAGTGACTATAATCTCACAATCTTCCTTCTTGCTAAAAGCAGTTACTACGGTGTAACCCAGCCTTTCAATGATGTGAAACTAGTTTTTAAATTTATTACATAAAAAAATGTTTGATTAACTCTCAACAATTTAAGGATGCTACTATTCCTGTCAAAAAAGACAACAACAAAGACAATGTCCCTATACTGTAAATTTTCCTGATGCTCTCCTTGAAAGCAGAAGAACACATACCTCTTCAGAAAGGTTGAACTCTTTTCCTTCTAAAATAAAATCCTGTCAGATAAATAAGTTAGACCTTTTAGGTATGTAGTTGGAAATAACATCAGGAAGAAGTTAAGACAGAAAGAAATACATGAAATACTGATGGGGAATATTTTTCTAACTATACGGTTTAAAACATATGGAACAACAAGTGAATGTGATTCTTTTTAACTAGGTAAAGATTTAAGTACACAAATCAAGTCACTGAGATAAGGACGTATATCCTCTAAACTCCATCTATTTTACTAACATTATAACATTTCTGACTAACAATTTCCAAACAAACAAGTCCAAAATTACGAAAAAAAGCATAAATTAGAGATACACAATCATCTTTAACACTAAAACCAGAAATTTTAACTCACTATACATAGGAAAAGTTAATTCAACTACCCTCAACATATTCTCTCCAGATTTTATCAAAAACAGAATCACAGAATAATAGACTAATTATTACAAGAGACAGTCTGCTCAAGAAGAAAAATGCAGTATATTACTGCATTTTATCACTCTATTTTTTATTTCACACAAAAGGACAAAATTCAAATGAGTAAAACGTAAAGGACTAGTAGAAACGCAGCAACAAACTCAGGTTACACTCAAGGTATCTTGAATGCATCTGCCAAGACCCTCTTCTATACCTTTAGGAAACAGGGAAAAGTTCAAGAGACAGAATTGTTCATCAAGGAACCTAAATTCACATTTGCATTGGTCTTTCCCTGAGAAAGACTGCTTAATATTTTCTTTCCTGTGGTTAAAAAACTAAGTTATGAACCACTTCAGAAGTCTAAAAAAGGATGGACTCAATACCAAAAAAAACAGCATGAACACATTTAAAACCAGAGTAGAATCATTCGAGACAAATGAAGGACTTCAAACTGGACTACTACAAAAACAGGTTGGTGCAGAAAAATAAATTTCACCAAGCAACGTGAAGAATAAAATCTATTGTATCAATCTTTTAAAAATCAGGAAATTATTTAAATAAGAAAAGAATTGTAAAACATAGTAAGAATACAAGGAAGTATTGCATAAGACTCCTGCTGCTCCAATCTCTTATATGCCTTTGATCTTTACACAACATTGGCTGAAAGAACCACTTACATTTTTCTCCTTTTGAAAGATCCTTGATAAAGCCTCAAAAAAGGCTAGAAAAAAAATTATTATTTGACAGAATGCAAAATGCAGTTATGGATTAGACACTGGCTAAGACACAACAAGGAGAAACTGTAAATAACCAACCTCGTAGTATACAAAAAATGAAAAAAATATAATTCTTATTAAAAAAGATGCAATATTTGAAGTAATGATCCGAGGAAAAAAAGTTGATGATTTATGTTGAGCAAAGCTAGACTGAAGAGAACCAATTCAAGTGTACTCAAATCCATAAGTCAGAGTAACAGCAGAAAAAAAAGAAATCTCTTTTGACAAATATCAGTAATATGTTACAAATAAGTAGTATGTCACAGGAAGCACGAACTACTCATTCGCATTGCTGAGTTTTAAATGGAAAACTAACCTAAGCTACTAAAAAAACCCACAATTTATTTTGCAAAGCATTTTTCTTAGTATTTGATGCCTTTTCCACCCGTTCAGCCTTATTAGACATTTGTATTAAGAGGATCAGAAACATCACAGATTCTTCTAAAGCTACGAGTGCCCTCTCTGCTTTCATCACACTATCATGCATTATTTTGCTTTAGATAAGACTGAAAAAGTGCTTACTGGCAACTAAAAACTAAGATTTCTCTGCCACAGTTTTCCCACTTTTGCTGGTGTTCCTGTTAATGGAGTTATCGTATTACTGAAAAGGGTGAGAAATTTCCTATGTTTGTATTAACCCTTGTACAAAATACAGGTTAGGCTGAAAGCCAGGAGAAAACAACCAAGAGGTAAACATTATACAAAAAAACGCTGCTAATGGAAACATAATAACTACATCAAACCTTAATGATAAGGTGAGTGAAAGTGATTCAATTCAAGGTGATTAGCACTCTGAATAATGCTAGGAGCTCTGGTCATGCTGCTCCAACTATATTTACAGCAGCTGTTCGGAGTTTAATATCAGCCTATATGACTGCTTATTTTAAAGAAGATGAACATAAAAAGGACCGTAAAGCCCAACAACAAAGAATGACACCAAAAATATGTTGAATATTCTTATGTATATAGTTCATCTTATTTAGAGAAAGGGAACATCAATTTGTAATGAAAAAAAGATACTTCTGGACAAAGAAACTGCAACTAGCTACACTGAAACTATCACACCTGAGTTCAAGAAGGTTTGGATTAGACACTTCCATAGCTAGAAAGAACACTTAGAAATACACTGCATAAAATCTAAGTCACATAAAAGCTATAATCCTCCCAAGTCCTTTGACATATGAATTAATACATAATTGTTATTACACACAAAGAATTCAGAAAAAAAACCCACTTCTATTCAAACAGACTGCTCCATAATCATGTTAACATGATTTACTAAAACTTGTTCTTAAAACTGAAGTATTCGTCTCCAAAAATAAAACTACACAGACAATATATTCTTGAAATGGTTTCTGTAATTCCTACATATGTTATCAGTGCTTAACAGTAAGTCACAAAACACGTGCACCTTCAGGATCACAAATACAGTTCTTATGTTTCTGTGCTGTTACACTCATCAGACACAGCTCTGAAGATGTAGGTTTCGCTTGGGGGTTAACACTCAGAAATACAAGAACATTTACTAGTTTCAGACATTTCCAGAATTAAACACAAAAACGGGTCAGTTGTGTTCATTCACATATTTAAGGCTGGATAAATGAACAACATGCTGAAACGTTAACATTCATTACCAGTTGAAGCTGAACGCATTTGTTTCATGTGAGCTTCTATGACAGTAGGGTCTTTGGAACTGTAAGATCCGAGTTCAGGATAAAAGTTGGCCCCAATGTCCTCAGGAGGATTATGCCTTCCCTTCGGGTAATTGTTTGCAATCTTGGGATCCCAATGTGGCAACAATGGATGGTTCCAGTGAATATATTTACCATCAAACTGTGGATTCCCAAACCAACTATAGTAAAATATATGAAAGTTATAATTAGGAGAAGAGAGCTCTTCTTCCAGCTTGTTTACAGGTGGCATAGAAGCTTTCATAGTATTGACTGCCATACTGTGCAAATTGCTGACACGTGTTACAGCATCTCCTTGAACCCTATTTAACGAATTCTGTTTATTGTCTAAGAGCACTGTCCGTTGTTGAAGCTCTGGCAACAAACCAAGTCCAAATGGATCCCCAAAGCCAGCTCTGTCAGGTCTCAGAGTCTTCAAAGCCATCATTATGGAGCAAATAAACAAAATAAAAAGCAACAAAATGATGCATGTTCTTCTGCGAAATCTTGCCATGATGTCATAGTTCAGAATCCAAACAGAAGGATTTTGGCCGCAACTGATCAAAAGACAAATATTTTAAAGTCAGATTTCTTAATTTCCTAATTCAACAGTATGAAATGCTTCATAAAGTTTCTATATAATAGAAAAAATACGGAGACAAATGTAATGTATACACTGACTGCATAACAGCCCTTTGCAATGGAGGAAGAGGAACAAAAAACATTTCTGCATTTGAGAACATGCATCAGGTTCTGGGGTTCTACCACCAAGGACTCACACATTTTATAAAATATCTCACTTTTGAACTTCACTGTTTTCCTAACCCAAATAAATCCCATGAAATGGAAATTCTGGTTACATTATTTCAGAACTACCATGTCTGAACAAGTCTGATAGAAATAGCGCAGGAAACAGAAGAAAAAAGCAGAAGCCATGAAAAGAGAACCACGTAGCAGAACAAAAGTGAAGGACAAAATGGGATATGACAGAAGTACTGCTTATGTTCAGAATACAGGTGTCATTTACTTACCTGTTTATGGCTTCAGATCAACCACTTCATGTTTAGTAAACTGACAATCTGACTAAATACTTTGGCAAATTAAACTCTAAACAACGGTGCTTTACAGATCTAAAATTCTAATTTGTTTTCTCAGTTAGGTGAACAAAACCCAGCATAGCATTAAGGATGTACTTCAACCAGAAAGTGCAAGTTAGCTGCTGGCAGCCTGTTAGTACAATGCCACAGCTGCATGACACTTCATGCAGAATTCCAGGACTAAGTTCAAAACAAGACCAACAGTACACAGCAAGAATTGAGCCCTGAAAGTAAGGGGAAGAAAGTCAGTATAACGGAATGCCTGATTACTTTATTTATAACTTTAATTCCCGTTCAACGCTAAACACGAGAGCCAGAAAAAAAAGGATTAATGAAATTTAGGTTACCACAGAATTATGCAGAACAAGATTATGCATAAAACTGACAACACTAAACTGGAAAAATCTTGGAATAAATTTCTGATTCAATGGCCATTAGACATGGCTGTGATTTTGTATTTCTGTCACTGACTTCCAAATTTTAGAACCTTACTTTAATTTACTGGGATATACACAGGTTGTTTTAAAATACTTATAAAGTATCTCACCTTAGATTCCCTATCAATGTTCTTTAGTACTGTTAAAGTGCAATAACCCACAGCTCAGTTGTCCCAACACTCTGCTTGTTACTGCTGTGATAATTTTAGATAAGGAACTTCAGAATATGCTTTTTAACAATACAGCTTGAATTGGATTAGCAGTATGACACTGCCAAAAAGGAAATTTCTGCTTCCATTTCCAACCTTAATCCGTTCATCCTGCTGTCTACTTTTAGTTACTTCTGGGATTCATCTGGTTCTCACAGTAAGATCACTCATACACTTCAACAGCAAAAATCCTGTTAACATCTCAAAAATAAACAACAAAAAACCCTATGCACTTTTACCTTGCCAGAGAGCTGACTCAGCAGAATGAGTATCACAGCACCAATGCCAACAAAAGAGTTACTAGCACAGATAGGGGAAGGGAAGAGAATGAAAATGATGCTGCTCATTTTACCCAACTGGACTGTGAAACCATATGTTTGGCTACTGTCAGGGAAAATGATTTTACAGCATATAGGCTTACAATACTTCATTTAATACTTCATTAACAGATTTCACATTACATTACATCAAATTGCAGAGTTCTTTTTCTATAGCTCACAATCCATTCCAAGATCTTAGAACTTTTTCAGAGAGATTACTTGGAGTCCAGAATAGTTTTCTTCTAATAAGAAATTAACTTTAAATACATTCAAACTACTACTCCTGTTTTGCCTGATCTTTTCAGTCTTCTTTTTAGTCTATCATGGTATCCCTCCCTGGGAGTTTAACTCAATTTTCAGATTAGACAAACTGAAGTTTTCTAAAGAGTCAGGATTTTTTTTTTTTTTAAGAAAACAATACTATTCACCTGGCTAATCTATTAATGTATTCAGTTTAATTTATCACAGATGCTACTGATCTTCATCAAACAACATACAGGACTGCCAGTGATAAATTACTTTTGCAATTATTCTTTTATCATCTCTTGTGTGAAAAAGAATTCATGGCTGTAATGTCTATAATTAGAATGTCCATAAGGTCTTTCATTTGGGCTTTCCTACTCTATTTTAAAGAAACTGTTTCTTTTTATTCTTTCTTGATTTATCTGCTACTAAATTCCTCCTCTATTGCATCAAGATTTCACTACCATAAAGCACTTTTTCTGAAGTGTCAGGAATTTATCTTAGTGTTCCATGTTCTTATTTCAACAAGTATTTTTTCAATGGAATATTTAGCATGAAAGTATTCTAAAACATGGGCAGCATACTTACTAAAATTTGACTAGCAACAGGGCAGACCCTGGTCTACCATAGCATATTATGAACTTCCAGTATGCTTACATAAAGGCTTGTGCTTTGGGGAGACACCAGTCTCACTGTTGATGACATAATTCAGCCCTGGCATAGATACTTACACTGTAAAAGGCACACTGAAGAGCTACAGGTTGGCAATGTTTGCATTGTGCCATTTAATCTTCCTCGGAGCCACCCTCTGGAGACAGTGACAGATAAATTATGCTCATCAACACTAGCATTGATTCAACAGCCATTAGAAATAGCAAAGCTATGATTTTGTGTTTCTGACATGGACATCTGAATTTTAGAATTTGACTTCAATTTACTGAGGTACACAGGTCATTCCTACATACTTATGATGAAGTATCTTGCCTTGGACTGTTGGACGCATTTGGATCTAACAGTAATTCCCTTTGTCAGTAGGAAAAACTCAGCCTGGACAACTTCAGCTTTATGCAGATTAAGATCTCACACTCAGACAGTTACACTGACTCATATGATGCCTTGTTAACTAGCAGCATCTTTTGGATTCTAACCCCAAGTTTGTTGATCCGTGTTGGTGTACCAGCCAAAAACGGAAGTAGTTGAAGCTCTTTCTCTTGCCTACCAAATTCATTTTAAAAGAAGAAGAAAAAAAAAGAATCTGTCAGTAACAGGTCAGAAGGAAGAACAAGTTAGTTTAGATCACCAGTCTCTGCCTATGGGCAAAGAACAGGTCCAATGTAGAGCAATGTTCTACCACAATAGTTAGGCATCTCCAGCTATTTGTGGATCAGAGACTTCCTGAACAAAAGGTCATTTCTTTGTACAATATCAAAACACATCTTCTGTTTAGAAGCTCACCTGCTAGTTTAATTTCATGCCCCTCATTCTCAAACTAGAAGGGAGAGTAAGCAAGCATTTGTTTATATTTATTTATTATTCTTTACATGTTCTACTTCGCTAATAATTCAATTGCTTCTATCAGGTTCTCTGAGTTTTCCTTTAGAGAAATTCTAGTGGGTCTAGTCTGTATATTGTATCACTATCACTGGAAAAATTTAAACATTTCTGAGGTGTTGTTTTTCTGTATTGTTTCAGCTCCACTCCATCCTTTCTTTCTGAGATTAAGGAAACACACTTGAATATGGTGTGACTTTCAACATGCATCCTGGACATAAAATTGCTTCTTTTTCTGCTTTTTTTTTTTAATTTTGTTCCCTATCTCTTTTCCAAAAAGTTCTTCTTTCTATCAATTCAGTTCACAGCTAATGAACACAACCTGACTACAGAATAATTATCATTCCTAAATCTAGCTCCTGAGTGGTAAAAATGAGCTCAGAGGTCATTACTGTGACAGTAAAATTGTTTTATTTACTCTATGCATTACATTACGTATTTTTAAAATAAATGCAATATTATTTTCTTTAATATTTTTTAATCATCCAGTCACTCTGAAAAGGAAAGTTTTTTGGCAAATTTTCCACTGAAAGGTGCCTGAAGAAGTCAGAATCTTCAGTAAACTCTGTCTACCACACACACTTTTCCAAATCATGAAGTTACCTTCAAGTGCAGAGCAAAAGCACAGAAGTCAATTGACGTCTTTTGGTTTCTCCTTTTATGATTACAGATACGACAATTTCCTTCATTATACATTCAATAACATTCAGTCCCCTTCTCCAAAAAAACTTTACAGAGTTACTTTACTTTTAGTTTGCAAGCTGCTATACAGACTTAAAAGCACAAAATAAATGTAAGTATGTTTATCCCTGCATGACCATCTCAGTTCCGAATTAATTTTTTCCTTATTTGGGAAAAAATAGTATGAAATTTATCACAGTAGTAGAAAATCTGCAGCTGTTCTTCCTAAAACAACTAATATCTCCACGAAAAAAATAAAATTGCACATGTGAAAAAAGCTGAAGTACTTCCTACACTGTTCTCCAAACTCAATAGCAAGTCTGTCTCAAGGATAACCTCTTCCATTCAAGCTCATACTTGACAGTGATGGTGTTTTTTTTCTCCCTCACTGCTGCTTTCTATACCCTTAAGCAAACCTTCTGATTGTCCTTTCCACTACATGAAGAAAAAAATAGTACAGACAGACATATCGCAATAGAGCTTTTTTCCCCCCCCCTCACATTTCCCAAAGCAATGAAGTTTCTTTAGTGAGAGAAAGGAAAAAAAAAAACAAAAACCAAAGTGTGTGTTTGTGTGTGTGTGAATTACTCTAGGTCATTTTGGTCATATGATAACTCAAGTTTCAATACTCTGCCTCATGGGTTGCTTTTTCGAGTTTCACTGATTCCAAAGAGAAATATGAAATGCAAAGAAAGTATGTTCAGATAAAACAGACATATCTATTTCAGTAAGAACCAGCAAATACTATAATTTATTTGTTCTATTTGTTCTGATGTTCTACCCTTAAACATAACAAACAAAAGTGCAATATAGAAGAGAGCTCTGAAAATTTCTCTTCCTTGATGCAAGGGTATGATCATTCAAAAGCCACTGAGGTTGGTAGCCTATGGCCGGTATCAAAGCTTCTCAGCTAAGTTTTTTAAGCTTCACTTCTGCTAAGATTTCCCATCTCAAAGAACCTGAAAACTCTGAAGTTACAGATCAGCTCTAG